GCTTCCCCTAATGGAAGCCCAGTGGGCACTGAGATTTCCTGATAAACAAACACACTGGTATAACGTTTTTCAAAAGGTTTAAACACCAAAAAAGGAAGTACCAGACTGGGGTCAACAGGTCCAGGAAACTGATGAGTCGGCCAGAAGCCTTCCCCCATCCCATTCCCCCTTCCTTTCCCTGGCGTGGGTCAATAACAACCCAACTGGCACCTCAGTGACAGAAGAGTGACAGGAATGTGACAGTTCCAGCCCAGGTGCCTGGAGAGAGACCTGCACCCACCTACCAAACACTGGAGATTGAAACAGCATGGCTGAGCCATGCCCAGCAGAGGCACCCACCTCCCCTGTCAGCATTGCTGCATTCACACAGGGCTTGTGCCAATGTGCCCTTTGAGTTGCGTGCAGACAGTAGCAAGGGGATTCAAGGACACAAGTTTTGAAACACAAGGGTTTTCCCTGCTCTGTATGTGAAGAGGAGACTGCCACATGAATGACCTTCCCACTCCCAGTGGGCCACCCACCAATAAATCACTAAGTCAGCTTCGCCATCAGTGCTCACCAAGGGACCACTGCTGCTCACTGGAATCTCGCAGTCAATGGGCAGCTCCATCTCACCACTTTTCCAAAGATGTCTAAGGGCCAGCCACAAAATGTAGATTTAGAGCAAATCATTAGAGCAAAACACATAGATTTGAGGGTGCTTGGGTTGGGGTTTTAGAGCTCAGCCATCCCTTGTTAAAGCTGCTGACATAAAATCTATTTTCATTGCAAAATTAAGCCTCCACATGAGGATTTGCTCCTAACCCGAGTCCTCACCACACTCAAAAGCACACATCTCAGAGTGGCCTTGCTTTGCACACCCACTGCCCTGTTACAGGGACAGCCACAAGCGGCGCTCACCAATCTTTCCAGGTGCTACCACAGCCACCCCATGTGGTTCGAGCAAAACTGGGTTCACACTGCAGGAAGACAAGACCTTAGACACAAGATGCATCTGAAAGCACCCAGGTAGCAGAGTGTAAAAGGCTGAGAACAAAGAAGAAACAATACAAGTATCCAGGGAAGGAGTTAGAGGACGAAACAGGTCTTGGTTTGTAACAGCGATACAGGATGGATGAGCTGGGGCCGGCTGGTGTGCCAGGTGCTGCACCTCCCAGGAACCCCATGCGGAAAGCATGACCTAATTGCAGTGGTTGCCCCAATGCAAACCTGTGAAGCAAGCAATGGGCCTGGCAGGCATCTCCCACACACCTATGTCCAGCAGGAGACACCTTGGGAAAGATGGGTACTCCTCGCTTCCTGCTGGCATAAATCAGAAGCAAGCCCCTGCGGTCCACAGAGCTAAAGCAGGGAACTGGAAGGAAGAGCAATCCGATTGTTTGCAAGCAACCAACACAATATTCAGCTGCTATCAAAATAATTCTGAGTTTAGCTTCAGCATTTCTCAGCACCAGCCCCTTCCCCACATTGTTTTTTCTTAGCGCCTGGTTGATGTCGCTCTGTCTTTACCCTCCTTGAGTATCACCAGGGAAAGGCAACCAGCTGAACCCCAAACAACCTGGATAACATTTTGTTACCACCAGTCTGAAATATCTCAGATGCTGTGGTGTGTGATACCACAGCACAGATTCGTCTATTAATACGTTGTCCAACCCAAATAAACTTTGGCTTCACTTCGGAATTGATCTCCGAATCGAGGAGCTCTGCCGCTTCCCTGGGCAGCCAACCCTCCCACAGGAATTTAACCCTCCCTGGCCTGACTGCTCTCCTCTGACACAATGGTTTTGCTCAGACAACGTTAGGCATTTGCACTCTTTGGTGCGATGTAAGGAGGAGCAGGATGGCTTTTCGTATCACCCGTCCTGGAATGAAAACACCCTTGACATCTCACATCCCCAGCTGGTTCACAGCCAAGTGGGGGGAGGCAGCTAAACAAGGCACGGCTATCAAAATGCTGCTTCTTTAAAAAGGCTCTTTGCTGGCTGCAGTCAAAGCCACGCTATGCCTAACGTCACTGAGTAACAGAAATAGCAGGCTTGAGTGAAGGGAGGAGAATGAGAGTATGAAGAGCGCACAGATTTCAAACGTACTTGGCTAGGTAGCATGCTCCCTTCCTGCCGCTGCCCTTCCAGATGCAACAGAGCACGGAGATCTCCTGCTGTCCGCTCATGAAGAAGGATTCTCTTTTTTTCTTTTTTCCCTTTTTTTTCTTTTGTTAAGTTTCAGCTTTAATACTACTAGATTCATTTTTATTTTATTTCTTGTAGGAAACTTCATCTGCTGGATTTAAAAGCAAGGTTTGAGCAGGAGGAATTAATTTATGTTTGTAGCTACCGGAATGCGCATGGTACTCCTGTGTGATGATAATGTAGAGGGAAAGGCAGGATTGGCTGAGAAAATTGCTTAGACTGTAAGATGCTTGAATGGCTGCTTGGAATAACAAGCTCTCTATTGTGTGTGCGTGTGCATGTGTGTGGGTGTATGCATTTATGTATGAGTGCAGCAATGACAGTAACTTTAAAATGATGCAAGGTTTTCCCAGTTTGCTTAATTTTCCTCCTCTAGGAGTGGGGACTTGCCTAGCTGTGGACTCTGTCTGGAGACAGGTGAAGTGTCTGAATTGAATTAGTGCTGTAGTAATTTTATAAATGAAGCAAAACGCAGGTTCAGTGGAAGAGGAGGAGAGTGGGGAGATGCGGTGTGCTGAGCTCTCTCCAGCAGGAGCTGTCACACCAGGAAATGGCACAGACATGCACAGGCACGGCACAGATCTGCTACAAGTGCCCAGAGCACAAAGTGAGGCAGCTGCAAGAAGACAGCACCTGGGCCATGGAAACATACTCCCGAAAATGAGCTATCACAAATCCAACTGAGCTTGACAGCTGTGTGCGTGACCAGCTCTGGGCTTGGCTGGAACATCCCATGCAGAGCCATTTGTTTCCAACCAAGTGTGCCGGCGATCGTGTGGCAGAGGAGCAGGCAGAGCTCCCTGAGCATCCGCATCTCCTTCATACGTGACGCTTTTGCTGCCAGCACAGCTCGTACATGAACATCAATAAAGTGGACGATGAGGGAGCAAGTCAGTGCATGGACAGACTGGCTACACATGCCCAAAGACAAGCAGGAGGAGACCACGCAGCACGGCACGGGAGGGAGGAGGCAGATTTGGGTTTGCAAGGTCCAAGAAAGCCAAGATGCTGGTGAAGCTGCTGGAGACCTGCTCAGAGGAACAATGTCCCAAAGGAGCACTGACCACTGCAGGACCATGCTTCATCGCTCCCCTCAGATGTCTGTACCCAAGGAACTCGGGTGGGAGACGGGCTCTGTGTATTGTGGTTTTTCTCCTTCTTTTTTTGCACCCCTATCCCAATTGTTAAGTGAGAAGAAATCTCCCTCTGTCCTGGATTGCTCTCTTTTATGCAGAGTTTTTGCATGACATCTCTGTAGCATCCATCACCCACAGCAGGTGGTAATGGGAAGAAAAGAAGATGAGAGTAAGCCATGAAGAGGATGAACAGTCCATCCTCAAGTGCTACAGAGGTCACTGTCAGGGTCTTTGACACAAGGGCAGTGGAGGAGGGCCTGGTGGTGTAATCCTGCTGCCAAGGAGCAAGTGGGAGGGAAGAGGCAAAGGAGTCAGAGCTGGTGTAGAGGCAAAGGGACATCAAACTCATTGGGAAAAGCTGCAAAACTTAGCAAATTCCCAGGATAAAACAAACCCAGCCTGCCCCGTGGAATGAGGCAGAACGAAGTCTTTGCCTGCTGAGCTCTGCAAGGGCAATACAGTCCAGCACCCCCTCTCACAGTGTTTTCCAAAGACGATCTGAGCTCCGTAAAATACATAGTGCAAACACACTTCTGAGTGCAGTGACCTTTAGGTTGGCACAGGCTTCTAGTGTAACTTAAAATCCGGGCATTTTAGCTACATCTTCAGTGTTTCACTCGGGTAGGTATGATCTCCCTTTGCCTACATCCAGAGCCAGTATAAACTCAAAGCAACACAGTCATGATTTGTATAGTGTTGGGCCTGAGCTAACCAAAAGCTCCAACATATGAAGAGTGACTACCTGCCTAATGTGCTGCAGAGCAATCTCACACCTCATTGCACAAGGCTGTTTAGACAGATTCACAGACAGGTCTGTCTGAAATATATCTGTGCATGGACACATGAAAATCTGTGGGATCACACTTGACTGAGAGCATGAAAAAAACCTGTGTTTACAGACATATAAAACCCACAGTGCAACCTACAGCTTGCTCTATAGATAGAAAACGCATTTTTTTTCTCCGTCACTCAACTACAATTTGAAACTGCAGGTCAGGACATAGCAGGAGCTTCTCATTCAAGGGAAAATTGCACTGAGAAAACACTGCAGAAATGCTGGACAGGAATTTGAGTGTATCGCTTACACAAAATAGACAACTATTTGGCTGCAAGTAGTAAATCCAAAGTTTGTTTTCCCTTTTTTGGGGTCTTTTACTCCTTCAGAGTTAAAAGCATAGCAAAGAGGTTTAAGCAATCATGCCGATAAGTCTGTAAGTTGCTGTTATGAATTTAGGGAGGACGCTTCTTTTCCCCAACCCCAAACTAATTTCAAGGGTTGCAGGAAGCTGTTCCAATGATCCACACAATCTCTTTTGTCTCTTTTCCATGGACACACTAAGAAATGTCATTCCTCAAAACTGTGCTCTTGTAATGATGGCACAAACCTTACACATGAGTGGCCTCAGTGCAGAAGGCCTTTGGTACATGCAGACAGTGTAGATTCGTACTCAGGGACAGGTAACTTCTAAATGATAATTTGTGTTGTGCTGGCAGATTTCTAATATGTTGGCTTCTGATGTCTTTCCTCTAGCAGAGAATGCAGATCTTCCTTGGATGAGACCCCACTAAGAAATGCTTCACCATCTCCCAGCAGTCGCATTTCTCGGAGCAGAAAGAACAGATCTTCAGACCCCAGTGGCATGAACAAAGCCTCTGTCATTAAAAGGCCAGGAAGATGTCCCTAACTGACGAGCTGGAGAGCCACTTTTCTGCAACCCCCTACATGGTGACAGACACAAGCGAGGGCAGACCCAACAGCTCCAATGCCACCGGGGACGGTGTGCCAGTCACCAGTTCCATGGAGGATATGATTGCCATCTGCACCATCGGGACAATCCTCTCCCTCATGTGCGTGATTGGGGTGACAGGCAACGTCTACACCTTGCTGGTGATGTGCAATTACTTGCGATCATCTGCCTCCATGTATATTTACATCATCAGCCTTGCACTGGCAGACCTGCTCTACCTTCTCACCATCCCCTTCATCGTTGGAACCTACTTCATTCAGAAATGGTACTTTGGGGACATTGGCTGTCGCATCTTGTTCAGTCTGGACTTCCTCACTATGCATGCCAGCATCTTCACCCTCACAGTCATGAGCACGGAACGCTACTTTGCTGTGCTGAAGCCCCTGGACACAGTGAAGAGGTCCAAGAGTTACCGAAAGGCCATTGCTGTTGTCATCTGGCTGGTGTCACTGCTGCTCACTCTCCCAATGCTCATCATGATCCAGCTGGTGCAAAGGGACAACAAAAGCATCTGCCTGCCCACTTGGAGCAAGCTGTCCTACAAAGTCTATCTCACCATCCTTTTTGGTACCAGCATTGTGGGTCCAGGGGTAATCATTGGCTACCTTTACATCCGATTAGCTAAGATTTACTGGGTGTCACAAACAGCATCTTTCAAGCAGACCAAGCGGCTGCCGAATCAAAAGGTGCTCTATTTAATCTTCACGATAGTGCTGGTGTTCTGGGCTTGCTTCTTGCCTTTCTGGATATGGCAGCTTCTCTTCCAGTATTACGAATCCTTCCCTTTATCTCCCAAGGTGATGAAGAACATTAATTATCTGACAACCTGTCTGACCTATAGCAACAGCTGTATCAACCCTTTCCTCTACACCCTACTCACCAAAAACTACAGGGAGTACCTAAAGAACAGACAGCGGTCCCTTAGCAGCAGCAGTGGGTACTTCCAAAGAAGGAATCGGTTTCAGAGGATTTCAGGGAGATCCCTGTCTACGAGCAGTCAGCACTGCACAGAGACATATGTTCTTGCTCACGCTCCTTTGGGAAACAGCAGTGACTGAAGGTAAAATGTATCTCCAAGAACAATCAATATTGACGTCAATGTTGCTTTGATTTAAAGTGTACATTGCAAAGGCAAAGCCTTAGCAGATCCATAATGTGCACACATTTAGTCCAGAGGCTGTGCTGTATGTCTGTTCTCATTTTCTTCAGTGGCACTGATTTGATGCTAGCAACATTCAGCTGAACATCTACCTAAATAGCCTTTCGCTCTTTATGCTTTATAGTGTATGTCTCCTGAAGTAACCATTAATAATGAAAGCCTATAATAGGACCATGGTTTTTAATAGTATCAGCTGTCTCACAGAGTTTAAAATTATGCTATCCCATGAATGGCTGTACTTTGCTCTTTCTTTTCTTTAGCAGCAATGCTAAATTTGTAGTTGTATGAGGACTGAAAACAATGAAATAAAGACAAAGCAGCTGATGTTTGTGACGTGCAATCCAGTCTGAATTTAGGGTAGGACTGGACAACGTGGATGAGGCATATCCAGGGGTATTTGTCCTGGTTTTGGTCGTATTCACATTTATTCTACACTCATGTGCATGCACTGGGCTTGATTCTCCATTCACACAGGTGTCTGCAGTGGAGTTACACCACAGTTCAAGTGAGCAAGATAGGCTTCCTGTGACAGTGCCACAGTCAGGGAATAGTCAGCATCCCCTAATGCACTGACCCCAAACACATGAGCACGCATGCGGGGGAGCATCATCTGTCCTGGACAAGTGTATCTGCCCTTTGCCCTCCTCCAAGGAGGCATTGGGAACCTCTGATGTTGTTCTCAGGGCATCTATTGAAAAACTGCAACATCCAGCCTGAGGGACCAGACCTACATCACCAAGTCCAGTCGGAAAGGACGGGGTGGGGCGAGGGGGAGGAGATGTGATTTCCAGTGAGCAAAGCTATGCTATCTGAAGTCCCTAATATTCTCAGTTATAAAAGCGCTAGCTCTCTATTAGTGAGACCACTTGTTCCCTTCACAGGAGATGATTTTGCTTTACTGCTACAAAAAGTGAATATAGTCCTGCCTACACAAAGAACACTTTGCCTGTCCTGGCTTTCACTGATGATAAAGCATCATTAGTATAAATATATCCTCCATGATGTCTGGCGCTTCTCCAGTGAGTCTAGAAGTACCTTCTCTGGGATACTGCCAGTATCTGTACAGGAGTCCTCTGCTTGCATTAGCCCGTTACCTCATTAGCAAGGATACAACAATGCAACGCCAACGCAACTCTAACCAAGTTACACAATTAGAAGCAAATTAATGCTTAGGAGTAAATTCAGGACTGCAGCATGATACGCCATTTGGCAGTGAACTCCTGAATTTAGGTTTTAACCATCTATTCCCCTTCAAGGAATTTAAATGGTCATTGCTTATGCGGACAGTGAAAGCTCTGCTTCCAGCCTCCGTGGGTGATACGCTTGGAAAAGAAATTGCCTCTTTCGTGCATGGGCTTAAAGTTTGTTATGTATGGGGAAGATTGCACATGTCATGAAAGAGGACTCTTGTGCATGCAGTTTTAATGTTGAACTATTGCAGAAACTGGAAGAGCCTCACTTTGTGTTCCCAACTGCCTCCATGCACACCATCTGCAGTGGTCCTGCAGGTCAGGGTGCCTTACCTGCACCCTGCTTGCAGTGCAGTACATTGACCAGCAAGTCCTACTTCAGGATTAGCCCCTTCCTGGTTTCAGAAGGGCAGAAATACCATTATATTTAGCTATATCCTACACTGATAGTACTTGTTATTTTTCAGACCCTCCTCAGGCTAGAGACATGCTAGTCAAAGCCCATTAGAGAGAGTAAAGCATTATTCACCCCACTGTAAGGAAGAGAGAGCCCACGGATAGGAGGTGAAGAGGTTTGCTATGTTCATGAACCCGTTTTGCACTTACATAGTCAGATGTTTATCATGGGTCAGAATGTAAAATTTTGCCTCCTTTTTTTGGCAATTGCAATTTTAACTTCTCCTTGCTCAGAAATAGCCAGACAAGCTCAAGACAAGGTCAGCATGAGCAGTTTCCATCATTGTGAAGGAAAGCTACTGTGGGTTGAGCCTTTAGTCCATCTTTTCTAAAATCGGATAGTCAAAATGAGAGGGTGGTTCGCAAATCTCAATTCATCCAGGCTTTGCACACCAATGAGGACAGTGCAGAAGAGTTACCGAAAGACATGGGAGCAGATTTGTCTCCAGAGTTAATCAGTCAAACCCCTTTGTCCCCAGCAGTACTGCTCTGATTAACTTCTTCACCACAACCAACATCTCACAGAAAATATTTGCAAAAAGCCTGCCATGGCTCTGTAGGTGCAACAAGCACCCTGAAAACAGCATGAGCAACATCCTGTGGAAGCATGGCCATACCAGAGGTCCTGCCATGCCCTGGGAGGTGAGCTGGGCTCAACACAGGGCGCGGGGGTTCCCTGCCTCCCCAGGAGGGCACACAGCCTCAGCCCTGGGCTGCACAGTCTCATTCCTCGTTTGAAGCCGGCACTGTGCTCTCAGCAGGGGCTTGCAAGTGTGTTTCTCAAATCAGCACAACAGACCCAAGAGAAAAGAAGAAACCCGCAAGTCAGGGAACGATTGCTGGTGATGTTTCAGTCAATATTGGGTCATCTCTGAATGCTGAGGTATTTCATTCAAGCCTTTCAATTTTCACCCCAGGCTCAGGTTTTTTTGCTCCTTCAAACACTCGCATCCATCACCACTCAGCACAGGCAACAATAAGGGAATATTATTCCAAGTCTACAGGTGAAACCAAGGCTCTGAGCAGTTCACAAGCAGCATGTGCACCAGCTCTGCATCCCCAACTAACATTACAGGGCATCAGCCACACTCAGATACCAAACGTTAGACAGCTGTCCTCTTCCTGAAACCAAACAGCAACTCAACCACAAGAGCCTGCTGAATATAAATGGGGGGGCCTGAGCAGTCAGTGAGGTCCGAAGAAGGAACTGCCTCCTCCAAGACATAGATTAATTGCTTAGTTAATGATAGCTATAAAATAATTATTGCACCCTATTTATTCCTCCTTGCAGAAACCTATCATCAGTCAAAGATCCAAGAGCTGATTTTTGCATAAACAAAATTAGAAATCAGTGTGAAAGGGATGTGTGTGTACACGTGGCTGTGTGTTTGCATACCTCAGACCATGCCCCTACACCTGCACCCTATTTGCTAGCTCTTTCTTCTCTGTGGGGTGAGATCAGAAGCTCTTTCATTATCCTGAAGTAAGTCTTAAATCCCCTCATCTCTGGGGTATTCAGTGCCCCACAGACTGGATTTCACCAGCTGAACTCCAGGTAGCAGCAGTCAAAACTCCAATTTTTTGCTAATTTAAGCCAGGGAGCATTTAGCAATGCCTCAAGACTCAAAGAAATTATCACTGTAAATACACTATGGCAGGGTGTCCAAAAAGGGCCCAGAGAGAG